ATTCCACTTCTGGGTGTATACCCAAGAAAAGTGAAAGCAGGGACTCAAACAGATATTTGTATGCTCATGTTCATAGCAGCATTATTCACAATATCCAAAAAGTAAAACTAATCCAAATAGAAATCAACAGATGGATAGATAAACAAAATCTGGTATATACATGCAGTGGAATTCAGCCTTAAAAAGGAAGGAAATTCTGATGCATGCTATATAACATCAATGAACCTTGAAGACATTATGCTACATGAAATAAGCCAGTCATAAAAGGACAAATACTTACAATTCCACTCGTATGGGGGCTCAGAGTTGTCAAATTCATAGAGACAGAAAACAGAATGGTGGCAGCCAGGAAATAGGGGAAGGGCAGAACAGGGAGTTACCGTTTAATGGGTGTGGAGTTTCAGTTTGGGAAAATTAAAAAAGATCTAGAAATGAAGGGTGGTAATGGCTACCCAGTAATGTGAATGTACTTAATGCCACTGAATTGCACACATGGAAATGGTTAAAATGGCAAATTTTGTGCTATGGATATCTAACCACAATTTTTTTAAAAAAAGAGTCAGGAGAACAATATCTGCCTGGAATATCTCACAGAGTTGTTATGCAATCAGACCTGAGGCCTTGTACAAGAAGTTAATAGTAATGAGGACCCAGAACTAGTTCCCCCATTTGATACGGTAAGGAGCCCCAGACCAGAATTTCAAGTCACAGCAGTGCCTACCATTGTGTGTACTCAATTCCTCATAGAACTACTGCAGGCAGCTCCAGCACCCTGTGTCCCATTCCTTCCACACCTCTGACTGAAATTCACCTGCGCCTCAGACTCACCTGCCACCAATAGCACCCTCCTCTAGTGCTGCCCCAATCATCCTGCTTATGGCCCAGGGCCCCCCACCTGTACCGATGCCTCCTCTCTTCCCACAGGCAAAAGACCAAAAGTGTAAGGGAGTTAACATCTGCAAAGCAACCCTCAATCGGTGCCAAACAGGTCCAGTGGATTCATGCTCCAGAATCCTGTCCTTCCAAGCAGAGAAGTCCAATAGATATTCTGAATGATTACCAGGAGGTGCTACAGAAGAGGCAATGCAACCCCACTGCCTAAAGCTAGCAACCTTACTAGGACACCGCACATCCCCTACCCCTTCCCTGTCTTATTCTTCCTATTTAAGTCACGTCCCAGATAAACTGCCTGAAACCAAAACCATATCTCAGTCAGTTAAACATCCAACTCTTGATTTCAGCTCAGGTCACGATCTCACAGTTCATGAGTTCAAGCCCTGCACCAGGCTCTGAGCTGACAGTGAGGAGCCTGCTTAGGGTAGTCTCTCTCCCTCTCTCTCTGCCCCTCCCCTGCTTGCTCTCTATCTCTCTCTTAAAATAAAAATAAAAATAAACCTTAAACAAAAATCATTATGATCTGTGCTTTATATTAATTTCTTTAATATTTTATAGCTTACCATTTTTTAAAATATAAGCAGTTGGTAGTTGTGTTCTAAAGTATGTTTACAAACTTATGAATACTTTGAGACTTGAAATACATTCTCCTACTTCAGAATGTGATTGGGTTCCCAGCAATATAAGGACAAGAAGCCCACTGTAGGTAGGAGAACAACAGAACAGAGAACAGTTTCAGCTTTCATCCCAACTATACAGGGGCTAATACAAGCACCCAGCTCTTTAAAACTTAATCATGGGGGTGGGGACGCCTGGGTGGTTTTGTCAGTTAAGTGTCTGACTTAGGCTCCGGTCATGATCTCACAGTTTGTGGGTTCGAGTCCTACATCGGGCTCTGTGCTGTCAGACCAGAGCCTGCTTCAGATCCTCTGTCTCCCTCTCTCTGCCCCTCCCCAGCTCATTCTCATTCTCTAGGATAAAAAAGAATAACCCTTCTGTCACCCCCAGAGGAAGATTATTAGAGACTCAAAGTGAAGAAGCAAACTAAGATTCACTTTATTTCAGAAGAAAATAAGACTGGATGAGTGATGCTGTTTCAAGATTTAACTTCTTTAGGGCTTTTTGCTTTCTATAGCATAACAAACCAACTCCAGAACCATGTGACCCAACATGGGATGAAAGTGAAGGGATTGCCTTAAAAAGCAGCTATTAGAAGGAAAAGGAGAGGAAGAGCAGAAATTCCAAGTGATGACCTTGAGAGGAGTAGAGGAGTTCTGGAGCTCCTGCCAAGGTCATTGGGCAAGAGTGGCCATTCTTTTTTTTTTATTAAAAAAAAATTTTTTTTTTCAACGTTTATTTGTTTTTGAGACAGAGAGAGTCAGAGCATGAACAGGGGAGGGGCAGAGAGAGAGGGAGACACAGAATCGGAAACAGGCTGCAGGCTCTGAGCAGTCAGCACAGAGCCCGATGCAGGGCTCGAACTCACAGGCCGTGAGATCATGACCTGAGCCGAAGTCGGACACCCAAACGACCAAGCCACCCAGGCGCCCCAAGAGCGGCCATTCTTTTGTCAGTCAGTTGCTGCCTAATTTCTTCTGGCTGATTTAACAAGTATTTACTGAGAGCCAGGCACTGTGCTATGTTTTCATCCAATAATTATTACTTACTTTCACCTGAAATAGACAATAGACTTTCCATTAATAATTGTTGAGCAAGTGAAAAATAATAGCAAGTACAAAAGTATCATTTATTTAGAACTTCTATATCCCTAGAGTGCTGATTCACAGGGGCACATGTACCCCAATGTTTATAGCA